CTTTTTAGGCCACTAGAGGCTCAAGTTTTTATTCAGAGGAGTTTATAAATAAGTAAGGGAGGGTAGGAAAGGTATATGAAGACAAGCTTCAAGTTGTTTTAATGAAAGTGTAAAGACTTTATTCGCAAGAAAGTATAAAACTTCTTGCGAACATCTTTTTTTGTATGTGGTCAGAGGATCAGCGGAAAGAGTTCTATATTATATAATTCTATTATAATTATATTTTATATTAATATTATATATTTATTATATCAAGATTATATAATTGTAATATAAAATTACTTTTAAAAATTTGAGTTTACATATTATATTTTTATTATAAATTTTAATTTTATCAATTTTTAAATTCTTGATTATACAATTAAAATTATAAAATTCATATACAGTTGTTTTTAAAGGTTTGAGTCCACTTATTATGTTTTTATTATAAATTTTAACTTATCAATTTTTAAATCTTAATTATATAATTAAAAATTATAAAATTTGCATATACTATATTATACTTTAATATTAATTTTATTTTTTATATTTTTTCAAAAACTTTTTATAAAAATAAAAATATTTAACATTAATAAAACTTTTAAAATCAATATTAAAATATAATATATATATATATACTGTAATTTTTGATTGCATAATTAAAGATTTAAAAATTAGTAAAGTTGAAATTTATAATAAAATATGGTAAATAGATTCAAACTTTTGAAAATAACCATATATTATATTTTAATATTGATTTTATTTTTTATATTTTATCAAAAAATTTTTATATATAATTTTGAAAGTTTTATTATTGTTAATAAATTTTTTTCTTTATCTAATTTTTATTTTTAAGTAATTTTAATTAATTACTATTATAAATCATATAATAATTAATAAAATAAATAAAATTATTTAACAATAATCAAACTTTATAAATTATTTATAAAAAATTTTTAAAAAAAATATGAGAAAAAAAACAAGTATTAAGATATGATTAATATATTGTGTAAATTTTATAATTTTTGATTGCATAATTAAAGATTTAAAAATTGACAAAGTTGAAATTTATAATAAAAACATAATAAGTAATAAAATAAATCTTTAAAGTTAATCAAGGTATATTATATTAAACTTTGTAAAAATAAAAATAAAAAAATATTACAAAAAATAAAAAAAATAAAAAAACTATTTTAGAAATTAAGACACTTGTTCAAAGAATTCTAATATTGTAATATCAAAATAATATAACAAATATAAAAAAAAAAAACCAAGAAAAAGATTTTTATAAGATTACAATGAATTGAATTAAATAAGGTGATTAAATTTGTTTTTAAAACTTAAAAATGATTTACAATAATAATAATTAAAAAAATATTTATTTGAAACAATACAGTAAATCTATTTTTGTAGTGAAACACCAATGCTTGCCAAATATTAGATATTTGTTTATTATTTGTTTTTTAAACGAAAGAAAAAATTTCTCTCTTCATTTGTTTCACCATAAAAGAAACTGTAAAAGGATACAGTATGGGATCTGACTTATAAACGTCAAAGCACGCACGTACAAACATTTATATCATCCGGGACACCAATTCTCATAATAGAGATCACCTGTCCCTTTGTTTACTAGGGTGACGATCTCTATTGGGTTAACTCGAGTACCCGAGTGAAGTTACCTGCGAAAAACTTGTTGAACGACGAATTAAAACATGGCATCTTTCTATTCGGTGTAACATTTAATTTGTTCTGAAGTGTGTTATTTCGAAACAATCGGGCGAATGTTTCTTTTGATCATACCCGCCACCGATGATAGTTCTCGAGGAACTCTCATTCGTTCATCGACTTGATGGGATTTCGTGCGAATGCCTAGGAAAGTGAAGGAGATGTAAGTTCAGACACGGAAAATCCTTGCCAGGGGCTCCGAAGATTGTACACCACGATCCCCAGCATTTGAGAACCACCGGAATATGCTCGAATCCTGATAAAATTATGAGCGATTTATGTAATTCGAAGATTACTTGCACAAATATCAACGTAATGAATCACGAATGCGTCCACGCGACGCAAACTTCATTAATAGAATGTGCGGCAGATATTTTCCATATTTGGGCACCGCTGAGAATTACACCACCAAAGCACAACTACGCCGAAATAAATAAATAAAACACAAACAAAACGCGAACTCTTATCTAACCGCTACAATTCTGTGGAGATTTGTATTGTATGCGCTTCGGATATCTATCGCTTCTCATAGGGAAAACAAAACGGTTCAAGGTCAGCTTGAATGAGCGCGCTGCACCAGTCTTTGCTCTTTATTTGTGGTTTCACACGCACAAGATTCTTTTATCATCATCGTAACCTTGTTTTTTTTTTTTTTTTTTTTTTTTTTTTTAGAATTGCCAACAGTTTAATTTTAATCGGGTGCGTGCTCGTTTTTTGCCGATGGCGAACTGCCACTTCCATGCGCCACCCAAAATCGATCGAACACTCTTGTGGCAAGGATATGGCGCTTTCGTTAAACATCAACCGTTGCGAAGTTACGTCAACAACGAGAGATCGATAAGATTGCTGGTCGGTCGGTCAGATAAGATTCGCGCATATCAGATCTTGGCGAACTTGATGGAGGTTTCACCGGACGACTTATCAGTACGCGCGCACCTTATCAGCATCTGTCGCCTTAACCAAATTCCGAAAATCTCGGACGAGCTCAGCAATCACCACCACAACAAATTACCTCATTTGTGAGACGAGTTCTGAGGCCATTTGTCGTCCCACCTGACCAAATTCAAGAGCAATTAATCCCCACAAAGAAATAATCGCATAGGGTGCGGCGTGCAACGCCCTCGAAGGGGATCACACCGTTGTCAATATAGGCAGTCATCATCACCAAGGTCAACAGAATTTTCCCTCGGCGTTCCTCGCACAGATTGGCTCATAAAGGAAGGCACCCAAAATTTCAAGATTTCAAACTTGATCAATTCGTTTTACCCATATGTGAGATGGTGTATCCAGTAGTTCAAGGCTTTTTTTGGAGCGTCGCATGATCAGGTACGACCTACCGAGTTTCTTTTTCAATTTGCACATACTGTAGCATCATGTCTCGACTCATGAGACCTTCACGCTGCATCTATGTTACCGAGTTGCGCGTGCAATTTCTGCAATCTCTTCATTAATCCCTTGGGAATCACTCCATCGAACCGCACGAATCACATGACACCCACCAGCCTCAAATTGTTCTTGGAAGGATCCCATGTCGTCTAAGCCAATCCCCATCATTGTCACCCATCCGTGGGTAGCACAGTCAACAAAACACAAAGACCACACCGCAAATCGTTAGCAATTTCCCGCTTGCATTACCCCACGAAATTGTTGATGCTCCCCACATAAGGCGTTCTGCAGATTGCGGCGTATCCGTCCATTCCTTTTTCTGCGATGCCTTTCATTTCCAAATTGGAACTTATATATAGGGTATTGATGGACATATTTGTAAGTGGTAGCGTGTAAATAGCATGTTCTTGAAGGGAAAAAAAGGGTTGAATCATTCCAAAAGCGGTCTCATCCACCCAATTCTCACGTCGAGAGCATGACGTCCACGATTATCTCACAAGAGGTTCAATTTGCGACCCTCATTCTCTTTGCCTCGTTTAGAATTTCGTTCTGAATTACACACTTTTCATTAAAGAATCACAATAGGTGGTGAAACGTGCAATTTAATAGGAGATTATCGGTTGCTTTCCGTTGATGTCACTTGTTATTTCCAAATTCCTCATACATCATAGTCATAACAAAAACGGTCATTATCGACAAATCCTATCCTATTAAGGGTTAATAACGTCAAGCCAGTTATTACCTTTCCCTCTGCATTTGTGAAAAAAAAAAGTGATCTTTGTGTTGCACACACACACACAGTGTCATTTCTTTTGCGGAGGTTACATCGGATAAACGGAAATGAAGGTGCGCTGTGTGAGAGCATGCAGCCTGTAATTATAAGGAAACGCACAATGACCAAAAAATTCGTATTATGATAAAAATATATCAAATATAAACAAAAGAAGTCCCAAATATATCTTTTTCCTATTGGTTGGATGTTTTAAGACGATCTTTGTTTGTTTATATATTATTGACACCGACAATCCGTCATTTCTTCGCTGTCATTCTGTAATCGGAGATGTCCAAAAATAACAAAGCCTGCTCACCAAAGGCCACACAAGCCACACACTCTGTACTTCACTGAAAAAAAAAAAAAATAGTAATAATAATAATAATAAAATAATAAAACGGAAAATGAATGGGTGAGTGAATGAATGAAAATGGATGAACGAGCCTTGTGTTCTTTCTTTACCTTTATCGCATTCTAAGCCCGAATATCGAACTATTTTTAAACTGTATGTCGTCATCTATAAAGATGTACGCACAAGTATGTACGCTAAATAATGAAAAGTGACGCATGTGTGTAATTTCGAGTACCAATTACAAACGAGTGTCACCGACGTTTAGAGGAATAAACGCAAAGTAAATTGGATGCATACACAACGGATTATGTATAGAAGATGATGGTATCCTGCGTCGCACTATGCTTGCATGGCGCGCATTTTATTGACACTTATTTGGCAGCATACTGGATCGTGCGTTTTTCATTGGTGTTTCTTTTTGCGTGAAACGACGACTTTAAACTAGAACTTTTTTTTGGTTTCAAAGGGAAACGAGAGAGGGAGGTCGGTCGCACGTCAGAAAAATCGGTGATTGCGAAAAAATTTACGCACAAACACACACACACACACACACACACACGAAAAAAAACGCAATTTTTTTTTTTTTCTCTGGCAAATCTGAATTTTCGCACTTTTTATTGAGACAAGTATTTCAATAAATAAATGTACAAAGAGATAATATATGTAATATAGAGATAGAGTAAGGAAAAAGAATAAAAAATAAATAAAAAAAAAAAAATTGGCAAATTTTAAAGAATAAATTGGCAATGGCAAACGATGTAAAGAAAAAAAAAAATTGGCAAATTCTGAAATGATAACGTAAAAGAAAAAAAAATTGGCAAAATCTGAATAACGTTGAGAAAAAATTGGCAAAATCTGAATAATAATAACGTAAAAAGAAAAAAATTGGCAAAATCTGAATATAGGAACAAAAAAAAAGTAATTGGCAAAATCTGAAGAGGAACAAAAAAATTGGCAAAATCTGAAGAGGAACAAAAAATTGGCAAAATCTGAATATGACAAACAAAAAGTGGCAAAATCGAATATATAGGCACAATTCGTGAACAGTAAGCGAAAAGATAATTCGTGAAATGTCGTTAAAAAGCAAAGCATATGGTTTTTTTTTTTTTTTTTTAGGAAAAAAAAAAAAGATGAATTGGCGAATGGCAAACTAGTAGACAGTATATAGAAATATTGGGCATAAATTTACAAATGATGATGGATGAATTGGAATGATAGTAGAAATCACAAACACAAACAAAAAAATTTCGATAAGGATGAACGATGGATGAATAAAATTTGAGGAAATCACAAACACAAACAAAAAAAATTTCGAATTTTGGAATTAAAAATTAAGTGTCGGAGGGAAATGTAATTGAGATGCTATATGTTGATTGGTGTAATAAATTAAAAAGATAAGGCATAATTGTAACGTGATAACGTTAGGGCGAAGAAGCTTAATTATTGTTGTTGTTGTTGAGTCTTAGTTTAAGTTGTGTAAAAATTCGTGTTGGCGGGTGGCAAGGTCAACGGAAAATCTTGTTCTGCCAGCTTCTAACGATACGAAGGTCCAGGGGAATGAACAGAAAAATCTCGCAGGCGATCGCCAACCCATAATCACACAGGACCGGGTTAAGTAAAAAAACAAAAAGTCTTCACGACAAAAAAAATGGAAAAACGACATGCTGCGAAAGATCTAGGAAACCTAGCTCCGTGTGCAGGCTCGTTTCTTCGTCAGAGAATACATTTGCACAGTGATGCCGAGCTTTATGACTTCGTCATATCGACTCGAAAATATGTATATGGTAATCTATATATACGAGGTGAGCTATATATATATATGTGTATTATAGAGGGCTAATAATAATGATAAGGAACATTGTAAAGGTGATGACGGTAATAATGAGCTTGATACCGTGTAGCAATATTTTCAGGCGATACTTAGGCGTAGGCTCGTCGGCAGTGACTTGCGGTTGATTGCATCTTTAGGAAACGTCCCTCGCAGTGACCAGCTTCAATAGTACTCAAAGACCTTAAGGAGTGTGTCTTTCCATTTGTTTAGCGTGGGGACACATTGGTTCAATGCAGAACACAGCCGTGTGTGTGTATGCGGTAGACGTGCGTACGGATTCTTCGTTCACGCCCTCGAACGGACGAACGCAGAAGAGGAGTAAGGGTGATGGATGTTTCACGGAAAGTGAACTTTCCGTGGCATATGGAAAGGAGGAGTTGATTTTCGAAATCAAATAAATAATGCAGGAGAAAAAAATGCGATGATTGTTGAATGGAAAGAGAACTATTCGTGATAATATCGTTATGTAATAATATCATTTTTTTTTTTTTTTTTTTTTTTTGGGTAGTCGAATAAATTAAATAGGAATAGACAAACGTTAACAAACACATTCGCACGCATCGTTGCGTGGATAAAGGCGAGTATAAACTTTCGAAGGTAAAGCACAAACACATTTTTTTTTTTTTTAAGAAAGGTATTCATGAAGGAAGTGGTGATAAGAGGTGGTGGTGAGTGTTGGAGGTGAGGGTCATGCCGAGGCATGCCCAAGGGAATAGTATATGTCCAGGGTAAACGTCGTAGCGTCTTACCTGCTATATACTATGGTGATATGTTAATAGAAGAACGTGAGTTGGTATTCATGGTTATGCATACCAACGAAGGGAAAGGTAGTCATTAACTAGGAGAGAAGAAACGCACGAAGAGTAGTTTGAGTGCGAAGGAGTACACACATATAGTAAGCACGACTATATGGTGGTGAGTTGAAAGTGACTAGAGAAAACCCATATTTATAATTGTCCATTACAAATATACTCATTATAAATAAAAATATGAGACCGTAAAAAAAAAAATAATAAATTTATAAAAAAAGAAAAATGTTCAAATAGGGTGTCAAAAGGCCTAGAGGACCTTTCGTTATTTTTTGGAAGAAAAGGAGGAGGCCGCCCTTTTATCCATTTTCTTCCAATATAGGGTCATTGTTGTGGAATTTTTAGAACACGGTGGAATTCCATAACATGGAACCACACCAGCTCACAACGTCCTTCACATTGGACGCAATATTCACACATCGTTCCACAACTCCTGAATCCCTTGTTTCATGATCGACTCTCCTATTGGTTACATGCTTGACCTCAATGGCGTTGCGTGGCGCACCAATGACCGGGGCCGGAGGTGACACAAACTTTCGGGCAGAGGCGACCGTATAAGCCGCGGGCATGGCAACAGATCTGCGTTGTGGCATTCCACGTGAGATATTCCTTGGAGGCGACTTGACCAATTGAGGTGGCATCACAAACTCGTCATCCTCATCATCGAGAGAATTCCCGCCAATCCAAGAGCCATCTTTGGCGAACGGAATGTTGATCTTTCCAGAATGTTTGGACTCCCTGGCCCTGGCCAACATCTGCTCGTAACCTTCGGCCACGCCATCTTCCTCCATTTTCGTGAAGAATGGATTGCTCATCCTTCGCCGCGTATGGGGAGGGGCCGGCTGTATTGTATAATGCGTGGGAGTGTAGTGAACTTGCTCCAGATTACGAGAAAATCTGAGGGACTTCTTTTGCTTGGGTTCAATAGGATGAGAGGTCGTGCGTCTTCTGATTTTCTGTACGTTGGCGTCGATCAACATCATCTCGAGGAGGTCTTTAAAGGGGTCACGTTCGACCGGCTTTTTGAGAGCAGGTTTGATGTAAGAAGACGGGGAGCTGCTTGGAGTGGGAGAGCCACTGGGAATATCGAGGGAATTGGGCATGGGACCAAAGGTAGGTGAATTTGGACAACAGGTGCCTGGTGGGCTACCGACCAAGGTCACGTCATCATCTTCCTCCATGAATGGATCGTTATCCGGTTGGTAAAGGGGGCCGAACAGCCAGAGGATGTCGCATTCCTTTTGCCTAAATAAAAGTTATTTAATAATTATTGATGATGATGATGATGAGGAGGAGGAGGAGGAGGAGGAGGAGGAATAACAATGTTAGTAATGTTTGTTTGTTTGACAAAAAGAGAATAATAGAGGAATGATGAAGCGCGTATTTGTTTGGATGAATAAAAAAAAATGTGTGCGTCTTTGTGTGTTTGTATTTGAATGGAATGCGTCTGCGTGGAGGATTTCTAATGCGTCATCCAGTTCCACCACATGTAAACAAGGGGGAAAGAGGAAAGGTGTGACAGCCAAGAAATAAATTCATAGGAGTCGAAAAAACTTTCGGAACAAACCCGCCAAAACCAATATAAAATGTCCGTGTGATTAAAAACACCCGACTCGTCGTGGTGTAACAAGAATCTACAGTATCTATTTAAATGTTTCCTGATAAGGGGTACAATATCCTTTCGTCACCCCAATTTTTTTTCAGCCCAAGCGTAAGCGCTTGTGAAACCTCGTACAATCGTAAAACCCCAAAATTACGCACGAAAATCTTTTTTTTTTTTTTTTTTAAGGTGAACGTAGAAACTTACCATTTTAAAGTCCTTGGAGAAACAAGTTTGTTGCCTTTCCCAACGCAACCGACGGTGGGACCCATACGTCTCCACAGAGAATTTTGCATACGGATTAGACGTTTTTCTTCGGCGCGCAGGGCAGATTCGTGCTTTTGTTGTTGAAGTTGCCTGCTAATGTTTCCAATGACTTTGTTGCCGGGCGTACGCTGTTGTTGAGACTGAGGTGAGGACGATTGTTGGTGGGCCAGTTGCCTACGGGTCGCTTGCTCTTTAACATTTTTTGGTTGCTGTTTGGAGGACGGAGCCTTAGGTGCTGTCAACTTTTGTTCGTTTTCCTCACGAATCTTTTCTCGGCAGGCAGCAAGTTGACGAGTAATCTCCTTGTAAGTATAGATGACATCAGTGGCAGACCAATCGTGAGTTTGACCAAGATAATCGACAGATTGAGTAGCACTCAAGGTGACAGACGGTTGTTCCATTTTTCTTTTTTTTTTTAGTTGTATTGAACGTTGAAGGCTGACTTTATATATCCGTCAAGTGGATTTTTTTTTTTTTTTTTTTGACTTACTATAAAAAAAACAAGAAATAAATAAAGAATCGTTCCTTTGTACAAAGGTTTTTCAGGAAGAAATTGTATTTACAAAATAATGGGAGGTTCGCGTCAAAATAAATTAGCTAAGGCAAATTAAATCTTTTTGATCAAGCAATTATTGAAGATTGTACTTCGAATTATATTATTTTACACTAGACAGAATTCTAAGTCGTAGTCGTTAGAGTGGTGAGTGGAAAGTTATTTTATTTTTTGGGGGGGTGTTCTACCGGCGGAATATATTTTTTTTCCTCAGAGAGAGTCTTTCATTAAAGTCTGTGGCGAAAGAGGTTAATAATCTCTTTAGAGATTTAAATCGACCTTTTTTTTGTTCAAAGAAAAAAAGGACGGAGATGTTCACTCAGGAATTGAGGGTGATATATATATATGTGTGTGTATCTTTTTCTGAAATAACGTGAAATTCAGATTGAAAGACGTGAGTTTACGTGATGAAGGAGTCTTTATATAGGATTGAAAGGGAGAAGATATTATATATTTCTTCTAGCTTTCAGGAAATATACAAATAGATTAAAATGAATAAAAATGTCAAGCAGAAAAAAAAAAGGTTTTTTTTTTTTTTTTCGTAATTTGAGTTGAGCTTTTTTGGACGCAATAAAGGATACTTAAATATTTTTTTTTTTTTTTAATCACAAAGTTGCCGTCAACAAGCATTTCTTTTTTTTTTTTTTTTTTTTTATATATATAATATCCGTATATTTAAAAATTTCTTTATTATATAAATCAGTTTATTTTTTTTTTTAATGTGGATCTTAAAAAAAAATTTTTTTTTTATAAAATAAGGTTAAATACCGGTGCATTATTTTTCGTTCGTCAAACTCCCTCTCTTTTTTTTTTTTTTATGTGCGCGCTCTAATCTAAATAGTGGTAGTGGTGATGTGCAAAAAAAAAAAAAAAAAAAAAAAAAAAAAAAAATTTTTTTTTTTTAAAAAAATTTAAATATTTAATACTTACCTCTCTGACCACTCAA